AGGTCTACATTAATAAGGGATATTGGACGATGGTAGTAAACACAGGGTCTCTGCCTGGTTTTAGCAGGAGATTCATGTTTGGTGGACGTCTGTCATTTTCCTTGATTTCTGCAACTCTGTGGAATAATGGAGCCAGAATTGTCCAGAATTCTGCTGGAAAGCCGTCTGGAGCTTTACTGTTGGGCAAACTTATCAGGGCTTCCTGCAGTGAGTCCAGTGCCAGTGCCTGACTGTCTGGTAGTTTTGGAAAAGTTATGTTGTCAAGAAACTGATCAACTTTGTTTTTTGATGAATTTATCTGTTGTGAATATAAAGTGATCTTAGACGGTGTTGCCCGATAAATCTTTAATCGCACACACATTCGATTCTTGGTTGGTCACTGGTTTGCTAGAAACTGGATTTATTACCATGTTGAACATTTTGAAAGTGAAGTCTTTGTACTAGAAATTGTTTTTTTTTTAAATATAAACATTTCTTTTAATTCAAGTTTTGCATTACAAACTTTTTTCAGTATTCAGCAACTGCATTTCGTTGCCTTGTCCTTGTAACATGTGCAATGACAATAAAGTTGAATTGATTCAGTGTTTCCTGTTCCTGGTGGTTCATGTCGGCTTCTCTAAAGATTTGATGATTTCTTCTAATTCCTGAATATGTTTGTTTCTTTTTAACGTGATGAGAATGAAATTATTTTAGCTCTCATCACAGCTTTCCTGCTTCCCAGAGAACAGATGTTTCAGGCAGGTCATTATTGCCTCAGCAAGACTTCGGCTTATCTTTCCCCACTTTGCATTTTTCCCTCATCCTGCAGACTTGATCCAGTGCACCAACGAGATGAACGTGAACATCCCTCAGCTGGCTGATACCCTGTTTGAGCGGACTGCCAGCACCAGCTGGGTGGTTGTCTTCAAGTCTCTCACCACCACACACCATCTGATGGTCTATGGCAATGAGGTCAGCGAGCAGACGTGAAACACTACAAAGGCTCGTTCACACCACGGAGCTCTGAACCGTCACAGCTTCAACGCCGTCTGTGAACACTGGTTTAAGAAATGGGTGTTTCAAGTATTTACAACATGTTTAGCGCCATCTTGTGCCAAAACAGGATATGAGGTCAACAGGTTGGTTAGTGGCAGCTGATAGGCTAACATCAGGTATGCTAAATAATTAGTAAGGTAACCAGTAACTAAGTGGAAAACGAGGCCCCCCTCGCCACAACAATGAGCTGTATGTGAAGAAACCGAGAACATACCGTCTGCTTTCACTGTCTTTAGCACCAACTGGTTGTTTGGCTAGCTGCACTGAAACAGGAAGTGTAATGTTTGTATTTGTAAAGCACTTAATAAAGGAGGACGGCTGTTTCACCAGACAAGCTGCAGTGAGACACTCTGACCTTTCCTCTGAGTTGTGATGCACTGAGTGGCATAAACAGCTGATGTCCACAAGATGCGGGTTACTACATGCGCATCACGCACAAACATAAATGTTTCTGGACGTTTTCAGCGGGAGAAACGTTTCATCATCATCCAGGTGATCAACCATCATCCTCAGTCTCAGCTGACTGCAGGTTTCAACCTTATAAGCAGGACATTTGCACAATAACTGAAATCAGCAGCAGTGCAGTCAGCTGAGACTGAGGATGATGGTTGATCACCTGATGATGATGAAATGTTTCTCCCACTGAAACGTCCACATGGACAGAATCAACCTTTGGGGATTTACTTACCTGGATGATCGAGCATCAAGACCTCTATCAGACTGCTTTTTAGTCTTAGTGTCCTTTTTTTGGTTCTGTTACTAGTTAGCTACCATAAACTAATCTAAGTATATAAGGCCCAACCAATCAACCCTGTTACGTTCTGTACTGGTACAAGAACACAGGTGTCCAACTCCAGGCCT